TATATATATATATATATATATATATATATATATATGTGTGTAATTACTTAATGATAATTTATTTATTTATATATATATAATATATTAATTAATATAATAATATTGTTATTATTTTATATCCAAGATACAAGTTGAAGTTGTTAGACTACTTTTTTTTCTAAATTTTATGGTAACTCATTTTCAATTAAAATTAATAATACCAAGAAATGATGCTACTCATTATTTGAAGAGTATCAAACTAAAGTTAAGAGAATAACGAAATTTTCAACTTCACAAGCAAATGTCAATGAGTCAAACTTGGATAATCTAAATATTAAAAATTTTCTTAATGATTATGATTCATTTGTGAATGACACAATTAAAACACAGACTAAATTTGAAATAGAGGTCTACTTGGAAGAAATTTTTTTGCCTATATGAGTGTTACTTTTAACATTCTTAGATGGTGAAAAATAAATGGATCAAGTATCCAATTTCAGTTGTAGCATCAGAATCTGCATTTAGCACAAAAGATAGATTTTTGAGTCCTCATCATTTAGACTCCATGAATTTCCTCTAAATGCAGTTATGTGTGCACAAAGTTGGTTGAAACACAAACAATAAGGTAATAAATAATTAAACTTTTTTATTTAATAAAAGTTGTTTTTATTTATTTTTTATTATTTGTTTTAATTATTAATTTAAATTATCTAATCATTCATTTTTTGTCATATAGTTTTTATTGGTATTACTGGACCACCAAAACAATATATAAACTTAAAAGACAAGTATTTGCAAAAATATGTAGAAGTTGATTCTAATGATGAGGTCAAATGTCTATATATTTATTTTTTTAAAATTTATAGTATATAATTTAATCTATAATTTTAATCTAACTAATTTCTATATATGTTTTTTCATAGGTTTCAGAGAATATTGTTAACACATGATCAAGATGTTGGAAGTTTAATTACAACTTTTATTATGTTGATTTTTTTAAAGTTTATTTACAAGAATTAAATATATTTTGTAATATTTATTTATAAGAATGGCTATGTTAAAATTTTGTAATGTTAAAGACATGACAAATTAATATTATGTTTACTTGTGTTAAATGTTACCTCTTTATCGATTTATTTACTTTATACATAAGTAAAATGCGGGTTATAGGTGTGGATATGGGTACATAAGCACCCGACAGGTATGTGGATGAGGATTAAAATTATTATCTGCATGGATATCCGACTGGGTGCAGATATTATTTTTAAATGTGCATATGAGAATGTGTACTATAAGACCATATTCTGACCCTACCCATTGTCATCCTATACTCTCATTACCTAGCATATATTCTACACTCAGAGTGAAACTATTCATTTTCTCCTTTATCTTGGTGAACATTAGACGAGGGATATGGATCTCCGTGGTATTCTCGCACAAACTCTAGTTCTCCAAAATCTTTTGAGAACAAACATACAATGAGGAAAAGTAAGAAAGTGAAAAATGAAAACGGACTCCAATTCTCTTTATAAAACTTAACTTCTTACTAATCCCAACAATTAAAATATTTAACTCAAATTACTCAACTCTTTCCTCAAATAATAAATAAATAAATAATTTAATTATAAAATTATTTATACACACATATATAGTTAATTAAAACAACTATTAATGCTAACCTAATTAGTTATAAAAATAAATAATAATCAATTAAACAAATACTATTAATAGAAAATTTGAGATCTTACATGAGGAATAATTTTTTTATTTAAATTTACAAATACTTATTATATATATAATGTATCGCACAAGTAAAACTATATTTTTAAACTGTGAATATATATTTTTTATTTAACTTCACTTAGTAAAGTAATAAATAGTAATGAAGTGTAAATAATATCAAATACACGTGAACCTATATTACATAACTAAATAAACTTTGTTTTTTGAGAATTATGTCCTCAATTTGGAAATAATTTGACAATTGTATCCTCAATTTTTTGAGGAAAAATTTGTTTATACAACATTTGACTTTTAGAGTAAGTTCCATTTTCCTCTCTGAGATATGAATATTACATTATTTTTCCTTTTATTTATTTATTTTTTATTTTTATTTTTTAAATTACGGCCTTCTCTCTTGATAAATTCCAAATACACAACACTTTATCCATTTTTAGTTTTTCATTGAAATTCCATTAACTTTCTTTATAAAAAAAAAATTATTATCAAAATATCATTTACATTAACATTCCCGAGAGATGTCATGTAAATGATAAAGGAAGGTGAAATAAGCCTTTATATATATATATATATATATATATATATATATTT